TCATCTTGAAATGCTAACATTAAATGTGCAATTACTATTTTTCTTAGTTTCTGAGCAGCAGAGTGAGTTAACTAGTTAACTAACTGCATTGACAACATTCCCCCTTTCCTTGTTTCACCTCAGCCTTACGATTCTGAGATGGTGGCTTGTCCGTCTCATTGGATTTGACTCCAAATTCCTTCTATTGAATTTTAATTGTATTCTGCAGAAAGGCAGAGGAGGTGGGCAAGGAAGGAGGAGCAGCAAGGGAGGCGATCAAAACTGCAGTATTACCAGTTTTACTTGTGTGTAAACTGTCACTAAAGGTACTGCATAACAGGATTTTCTCTTGACCCCTCTTTACTTCGCTGCTGGAAGGTGAACTGAAGGCGTTAACAGTGAGATTATGAGCACTTTTAAATTCTAATTTTCTTACAGAGAAAACTTGTGTCATCTGAGTTAAAGGAATCACCACCATTATCTTAATTACTTACACAGTGCTTAAATGCTTTTATAGCAAGGAAATTATGAACAGATGTAAAATGAATCCATTATAAAAGGATTCAAATAAGCATCTTATTCAAGAGAGTATGCAGGCAATATATGCATTGGTTTCAATGGATTCTGGACTAGATCTTACATAAGTACTTATCAATAACACACCTAAAACCATGTTTAAAATACCTAGTTTAAATTAAAACGTCTACGGGCAGCATTAAAAAAACAACCCAGAATTCTTATAGTGCTAGCTCAAGATCCTCGGGTAAGGATTCAGGAATACTGTGTCTGTACATAAGAAGATTAGGAATTAGCAAAATTTATGGATTCATCTGATGAAGACAAAGATTTAAAATATAATATTTAAGATTTAGTACTTTCAAAGAATATAGTCTGTGTTTCTGTGCTGTTATTTTCCCACCTGTGTCAAGGACAAGTAAAAATATCACAGTGAGTCTCTAGGTGAAAAGCACTAACACAATAAACTGTATTTTAGCCAGGCTGGTGCATTCATTTATTGAATCCAGATAGGAAAACCTGTGTATGTGGATTCTTCCAATAGATATTATCTGAGTATTTCTCAAGTAGTAATTCATAGACCACTTGTGGTCCATGGAGTACTACCAGGTGGCTTAGAGAGGAATTTTAGTGGTACTAAAAGCACTGCTACTTTTCAAACAATTGTGTGGTAACATAGTCGAATATCTTCGGGGTGGGTTTTTTGATTGGTTGGTTGGTTTTTGGTTTGTTGTTGTTGTTATGAAGTGTCTTACAGTTGCAAATACGAATTGTAAAACACACATGAGATAAATGAACTAGGAAGAAGTAAAACACTACTTCAATATGGGAAGTGTAGGTAAGGAAAAATCTGTTCTCCCAGTCTCACTGAGTTGAATCTCTTGTCCATTCCTTGTTAATCTCTTATCCTGTTCCTGAGGAGAGGCTGAAAGAGCTGGCACTGTTTCACCTCAAGAAGGCTCAAGCAGATCTTATCTGTGTGTATTAATATCTTATGGGAAAGTGTAAAGAAGATGGAGCCTCTTCTCGGTGATGCCCAGGAGCAGGACCAGAAGCAATAGGCACAAACTGAAACACAGGAGGTGACATCTGAACATCAGGAAACATCTTTTCACTGTGAGGGTGACTGGGCACTGGCACAGGCTGCCCAGAGAAGTGGTGGAGTCTCCATCTTTGGAGACACTCAACTGAGCTGTACATGGCTCTGAGCAACCTGGTCTAGGTGGCCCTGCTTTGAGCAGCAGGAGTTGGACTAGCCAATCTACAGAGGTCCCTCCCAACCTCAGCTATTCTGTGATGCTTACATTTGATGTATGTGGGAACAATACTATGCAAATAGCTGACTTTACTGATGGTAGGGATGAGTTCAGCAATTTCAGACTGAAAGATAAGAATACCCATAATAAGCAAGAGGTTATTTAGTAATTCCTCTGTCCCAATAACTTAGATTCTTCTGGCAGTAAAAGATTGCTAATGTAGCTTTTCAGCAGTACTTTTATCAGTAGGTATAAAAGAGGTGAGGTTTTCCTTATCTTTACTTGTGGGTTAATTGAGGCGCTAGAGGTGACATGAAAATGGAACTGACTGGTCTCTGGAGAGCCTACAGAGACTAATAAGAAAAGTAAATAATGTGAAATCTAAACTAGACACATTGATCAAAGTAACTCCATGCGTTTACTTCTGTATTCCCTTCCTGTAATTTAATGGCCTTGTGCTGCTTTGTCTATAATGAACAACTTTTTCTGTGCCATAATGTTAAGCTGGACTGCTTCTGTATTAGATATTTTTCATAACCTTGTACAAAAAGTATTTACTTACTTGGCCATGCATATATGAACACGTATCTTCATGGTAATTTTAAGACTGCCTTTAGATTTTGTTACCACAGGGTAATAAAAGGAATTACGCATTGCAGACTACCTTTTTTTTCAGACTTACCAAAAGCTATGCTTCTGAAAAGCACCTGAGTTAAGATCTTTGCTTAAAATCGGCTTCTTGGTGCAATTGTTCAGTTTTTGTCCCATCATTCGTCTAATTAAAGCATCATCTGTGTTTGGAAATAACTGTTTTGTGATTCCTGCAAAATAGAGAGACAATATATATGAGGACTGCAAATCAGGGAAACAACAGATATGTTACCTAAAATGCATTTCTTGCATCTTTGCAACTTCCAGCTACTTCAGCTTTAGCTCCAGTTTTTCTCTGTGCTTTCCATACTGCTGTGACTGCTTTTGGCGGACTCAAAGGGAACTCCAGGGCCACAACGGCTTCCTGTAGTGAGTGACTGGTGTATGCTCATCCTCCTTCTCTTTGTTTTGTTCTTGATCAGAGAGTCCTTTTCCTATCCTTATCCATCCTCATGCCTCTGAATCTTACAGTGCTTTTTAATTTTCATTTGCTTTCTCCTTCCCTTAAAAATTCCCTTCTGTTTTGCCTGACTATCTTCTTGTGCATGCAATGCTAACAGGACTCAACATCAGGAATGCAACTCCTGCACCCCTCCTCTTCATCTTCCCTTTCCCTTGATTTTTCATCCCCTTTCATTTCGTTTTTAAGCCTTACAGTTTCTATCGTCTTTAAATAATTCGATCTACTAACTCATTCTCTACCGTCTAAAGCTCCCAGGCTTCCTTCTTATTTTCCTTTTTCTCTTGCATAATGCTGACATGTCTCTAGTTGAATTCAGAAGTGTTCTCACTTAACGCACTTCTTTGACTACTCTATAGGCCCCCCTTTGTCACTGAATTCTCTGCAGCATGCTGTATTCAGTATCCTGATTATCTTCTCTGCTTTTCTTTCCAGCTTTGCCTAGACCCTCCCCCAGAATCTGCCTTTAGAAGTCATTTGTAGCTCTTAGAATCATAGGATCATTTAGGTTGGAAAAGATGATTAACATCATTGAGTCCAACAGTTCTTCTCATCCCATGAAATCTTTTAAAATTTCCTCATACATCATGCTGACATGGTCTCATCTTACTGCCTCTATAGATACTTTCACTCTCTTAGATACCCCTTCCTTTTCTCTCTGGACTTTGGTCCTTGTTCTCTAGCTAAGTTCTTCAGGGGAAGAGGTTTCTGCAGTTGGTAACTTTTGAAACCACTGGCCAACTTCAATAAAACTGGACCAAGGCAGAGGAACTGAAGATAAGCTGGGAAGGGAACAGACAGTCCAAGGGAATAGCAATAGGGGAGGGATTCTAGCACAGAATTTAGGCTATGTTGTTCAAGTATAAAGCTGTAGGTGTAAACTAAATAAAACCCAGACTTTGGGCTCACAAAATACTGTTTTCTTTAAAACTATGACTTCCATCTGCATCGTTCCTATGCACCAAACTTACTCTGCCTTAAACCTCAGCATAAAACAAATTTATTTGCTTCTCTGATCAGTATTCCTGTCTTCCATACTTAACTGTCTCATTTTGCCTCCAGCGCTATTTAAAATGTCAGCATTCATAACATCCACTAACTTCAGGATACAGCAGACATCATTTTAAATTTGACCCCAGTGTGTCCTCTCTTTGCCTTCCTTATCTGTTAGCATCATGCTCTGAGTTTGACTGTTGTAGATTAACCTTTCAAAGGCTAAAAAAATTTACAGTATCACTGTGCCTGAGTAGCCACTTAAATAAACCCCACAAAATTCACTCAATAGAAACACTGCTGCTCAGCATTTCACTGCCAGCAGTAGTAACAGATGGTTTAAATGTATGTAGCTGAAGAAGGAAATACGAAACAGCACATCACCTGAGCAGACCAGCTGTTAAGCATTACAGCCCCTCCCTCAGAGAAAGCCCTCTGTCAAATCAGTGCCACATCCAGTAACGTTAACAAGCCATCACCTATGATCTCCTGAACTTCATTCTGATTCATAGCTGGTTTTGCCGCTTTATCCTTTGAAGAGGAGGACTTTGCACCTGTGAGGCTGTGTGTAGCCATGTATTCATGTGTATAAAGTGCTTGCATCAAGTCATTTATAAACTTTTGAGGTTTGCTCTTGTTACAAAGTGCAATCTGCCATTTTTCGATCTTGAACTGGAAAACAAAATTGGTCATAGGCGTAACTATTGCAGTTCTCTAGAAATAGTACATAATATTACCCCTGAAATATCTTTCTAATTTTCTTTTTTTAAACCACAGTTTCAAATGGAATCTCTGCAACCTGTGTGCTTGATATCAACACTAAGCTTTCACACCACTTAGTGTTTGGAACTATACATGCAGGTGTTGGGGAGACTAAGGACCCCGTTCATCCTAGCAACACTTCCCCAAGCGATTCTTATTACTCACTAGTGGAGGCAGGACATGTTCAGGCGTATCTAAATCCTTCTGCTTGCACTCCATGCAAGCTGGCTGTGCTCCAGTTCTGGCATGGATTCTGTACAGCCTTGGGAGCATGGCGCTATGCCCAAGCTAATATTCCTGCCTCTGAGCAGAGATGCCCTAAGAACTGTGACATCTGGTCCTGGGCTTTGAGAGTGACTTCTACACACAGCAGTTGTACAGCCTTAAGCATTTGAACTCTCCTAACAGGCAGTTTTGAGCTACGCTTATTAAGTTAGGTTGCTTAGAAAATTAGATCTTTTTATTTCTTTGGAGATGGTAGGTCAAATTTTGTGTATTGCAATATTCAGTCAAAATCACACCTTGATAATTTTTAATAGGTTTTGGGGGGTTTTAGAACCCTACAACAACATACAAGAACGATTTCCACCAACTGGAATGACTCAGTGCATAACAATGTAAATTGTGAATGCAAAAGCTATAATTATTCTTTTGGTTGCGTCTTTATATTTTTCATGTACATTCTTTGTGCCTCTGATTTCTCAATGATGCGCTGCTACAGTTACAGAGTACCGGAAAACCTCTTCCCTCATGTACGTGCTCATGCATGTACTCCATGCATACATGTATTTCTACCAGTGTCTAGAACAAGAGCAGGAACATACCATTCTCCATTTAATTATTAACCATTTAAAGAGACTGCTGGTATTTTTCTTAGATTACCCTGAAACACTACCATTCCCTTTTGGCATCTAAAACATTAGCCTGGAAGTTATCCTTGGATCTCAGCATTTTCTTCATGCATCCACAGTCACAGATGTGCAAAGCCACCGAAATCAAAACCAGTTTTAGAGTGGAGCACCACACTGAATTAAGTCTGGTGTTTCTCATGGAAAGAGCCTTCTGTGCAAAAGGAGTTCATTAGTCATGTCACCAACTGAACAATGATAAAATTATTTTTACTGATGCTTATTTTTTATATTGGTTATACTATAGCAGTGAAGTTTGTACTGTATAAAGTTTTAATTTTTATGCCTGAAATTGCCTTTTAACTGACCTGTTTTTCAGTCTGTTGCTCCTCATCTTCCATATTCAAAGTTATTGGTGAGCTGGAGTTACTGTGCATAGCTGCATAGGAATCTGCTAACGGATTGTTAGATGCTTTCCAAACAGCATGTGAATGTAGAGTGGATGCAGGTGATGTCACTCCCCCTTTGAGCAGTGCTTCAGCCATCCCTACCAGTTCTTCAAAATGGGTGACTGCCTGTGGCAACACTGAAATCAAATGGAAAGTGAGGGGTAAAATAGTAATTGAAGCTTTCAGACTCTGATTAAATAAGCATGTATACTTTTGCAGTTAGATTCCTGTTACAATGCAAGAGAGTCAAATTAGTCAGCAAAGAGGCTCTAACATACTTTTTTCCTGTTCTCTCAGATGTTTACCTGCCATTCTGCTCTCCCCACCCGTGAAGAGCCAACCTGTTTCTAGAATAGGGTAGGTCAGTTCTCCGCAAGGCCAAGAGGAACCATCAGTTTACATCCATTATGGCACTAAACAGGGTATTTCTCTTTTTTCTTTTTGCTATCTCAAAATCTCTACAAGTCTGTGAAGGTATCAAATATGGGTAAATAATGTTATGTCTGATTTTTTTTTCTTCAAAGAAGTTACATAGACTGCATAGATATTTTCTTATTTTTTAATCTATAAAGAATATATTTTAAATACACTTTTCGTCAAGTAATATTTAATTTCAAATATAAACTTTTATTGGGTCCATTAAAAAAAATCAATTCAGAGCAAAAAGGATGCAAGGGATGAAGAATCGGCAAGATACAGAATCACTGAAGTACAGAAAAAACTGTAGAAGCCTAATGCAAGTGCTCATAGTGCAAGGCAATGGACCTAAATGTGTCAGAGAAGACGTCAGGCACTAACAGAATGTTTAAAAATAAGATTCGAAAAGGTGGATATGAATGATTCAAACCAAGATGAATATGGAATGGGATCAGGTGGGCAATGAAACTGTTAAGCGCTTGAAAAATCAGATAAGAATAAAAAAGGAGATACTAGGCTGTCTAGGGATGCTCTTTTCCTTGCCTAGCTGGCAGGGGAAAGAGCAAAAACTCTTTAAACCTTACTCATTCACTAATGTTTTGTGATTTTGGATGCAGTCTTTGTTGCCCCAGCATACGGGATAGGGACAAGAAAGAGAGGCTTCAGAGACGATTATTAACTGAGGAAGGATTCATTTATAAAAGAACCTCTGGGAAAGGACTACATTTGTTGCATCTGGAACTGAAATTAACCAGTAATGAGGAATTACCAAAGTAGTTGGAAATTAAATCATTCCCGAATGAATAAAATTTCAGTAGATCGAGAAAGACTGCTAATAAATAGTCACTTGGACTGGTCAGTGGAGTGTTTGAGCTTAGCCAATGGTTATACACAGCATACAGAAAGGTTCTCTTGGGAACAACTGATAGGATTTAGACAGATTTTTCTATTTGTAACTCTACAATTGCATGGCCCCCGTGTAAGACATCTTTTCTAAGTGCTGCTAGAATTAAATGTTGCCATGTATCAAACACTTTGATGCTAATGGTAGGCCTTGATAGTGTCAGGTGCTTGAGCATCGTAATTCCCATCCAAATGGCCTCTTATAAATCAAGCTTTTCCATGACCTTTGGGCTTTCCTCTTTATCACAATACTTCCCCTGATTTTACCTTGAAGCATCACCAGGGACTGCCTCAGGCGGCAGTTTTCTCTCATGGTGTCTGTCAGCTTCCGCTTGAGACCTTTTATTTTGGCACACAGTTCTACCTTGGACAGCTGAAATAAAGGTTCTTCATCCTCGCTGCTACTTTCACTGTACAGAAAGTTGCTTCCTGAATAAGGTTCTCTCTGGAAAAAAAAAAGATACAAACTGTGCTATCTAGAGCAACATCATAAAATTAAAGCATTAAAACTAACAAAATATCTGGCAAGTAGAATATTCTCTTTGTACATATGTTTATATGTATAAACAGACCTGGTGCATTTTAATAATAGCTGTTTCTGAACACAGTTATTACCATTCCTCTTAACAGTAAAAATGAAATATCAGTGTAATACATAACTGTTAGGTATTTCTCTGTTCTCCATTCACTTATTTTCCAAGGTAGTGTCTTTTGGAACTGTTAACTTCACTAAAACAGAAGTCTTACACCCCCCTAAACAAATACATTCCAGTTTGCTTTTTGCTTAATACATCAAAATTGCTGAAGATGAGATGTTTACCTGTTTGTTAATTAAAGATGTTTCAAGTTGAGTCAGGATGTTGGCAGGAGCAGATGCCTGCAGTGATTTCTTTCTCTTTATATGCTTCATCATCTTCCCCTGCAAACAGGAGCATAATAGTGCCTTTGCATTCCTATAGAGCCTTTCACTACAGCATCTCATAGTATACCATAAACTTTCATTCAGCGTGCACTTGACATGCTTGGTTAGCATTTCTGAAAAATATGTTTGTAACTTCATGTTTTCTTTTCCTACATTTTGTCAGTGCCAATCTCAGCACAATGCAAAGCTCAGAAAACCTGGTTCCTTCCTTTTCTTATGCAGTGGTCACATTTCTGTCTTACAGGAGGAAATGTAATGGAGCTGCACAGCAGCCATGTCTTGAACAACACTTTTCTCTTTAAATAACAAAGGATAAAATCTGCTGGCCTAATTCCTGTAACAGGTTATTGTGCCAAGGTACTACATGAAGATGCCTACATTCACGATACATATTTTGTGTATTATATGGTGAAGAATCAATAATTACAGGCTATTTCATTCCATCACAGACCTACCAATATCAGGCAGAGAAAGACAGAAACTCACTTCTTCTTTATCCAGGTCGCTGTCCTCACTTTCTGAGAATATCATTTCTATCCTCTTCCTCTTGCCTTTTCCAAGGACTTGTATTTTTGTAATTTCATCTGCTCGTAATATCTTTTGCATCATTTCCACCAGCTCTTGGGGGTCATCTGAAGCAATGGGGGAAAAAAAAAAGGCCAAAGCACAGAAAATCAGGTAGCAATACAACCAGATTAAAACTTCCTATCAAGCAAATGCTCCAGAACTGCACTCACCACTCATGTACACAACTTTCACCAGGTGCCTTTCTGTCTTTCTTTCTCCCACAGGCCAGTTTACTAGCACGTGCTCATTTGGTTTCAGAAGTCTTTCTAGTTCGTCATCATCACGGGGAAGGTCCTGTATCCATGAAGTCTCTCCAATTTGCAGTGAATTATCATTTACAAAATCAAACAGTGTGAATTTTTTCATTTTTAAGTGGTTTTCTTGTCACACAGACACTGCCTGCAGGATGTCATCAGAAAAATAGCTGTTACTGTGTCATGCCGCAGGAATGTTACAAGGGTACTTTAAAAAGCCCCAAACAACTTTCCTATTCTTGGATATTGGCAATTATCTGGATCAGGAAATGAAAACTACCCAAGCAGTGTGTTATATCTCCCCTGAAGTATGGGAGATGGATTGCTCAATACATGTGCATCAAGCAGTTGCCTCCAAAACTATGCAAAGAGAACAGGCTGCGCTCACAGAGCCCTTGCTTCCATATTACTACGATGCCTAATCTGTCTCCTGTCTGGGATCTCTATTACTACTACATTTGCCTCAGCAAAAGTTTTCAGTCCAGCCTCTGACTAAAAGATAGAGGTATCATAAAAAATCCCTAGAATGAAGGGAAGTACTACCTATACATGCTATTAAAAGGGATGTATGACTTCCAGGGCTGTATTAATCATGTCACAGGCAGTAAGATGTACAACTGCAGCCACAGATACCCAACCCAGAATAACACAGGACAACTGACTGGGTGAGGTATGACACATTCTGGCAGTGGAAAATTTGACATACAAAGGAAATGACAGGATTGGAAGAGAGCTGAGCTGCTTCATGAAGAGTAATAGCAACAAGGAGGACCCAACCCCAAATATACAGCTAAATTCTTTGATTACGTAAAACAATACTTTTAAAGCAAAGGGTCATTTCTGGGCTTTTTAAAGCAATGAAGTTCTGCACTGGGAGAAGGGAACAAGTCATACTTTGTGTTTTATTTTTCTAATTAAGCTGATAGGCCTTACACAAAAGTGTGAAATGTAACATACATTATTAAACTCTACTGGAAATGTAACCAGTTCATTTAAGTGTTTCCATTATACTTGGAGAAGATATTTCATACTTTAAAATTATTAAATCAGATAAACAAATAAATAGAAAATCTGATTTTGTCAAACCTTGATTTTTTTTTTCCAGCAAACATATGGTTTAGCCTGTCAGTTTCTAAAGGTGAAATACTTCTACAGAGCTGAAAACTCAGAAATTCCCAGATGTGATAGCATGACTTGTGATTTACTTGGCCTCAATCAGTCAGAAGCAAATCTAGTGCCTCGTGCAGAGGCTGCCAGAAAGGAAACTCAGAGCTAGGAAAGGAGAATTACGCAGGGCTATTATGTCAAAGTGAGAAAATCTGACTGAAGTGCTTCAAGAAGCAACGGCTACGCCTCAACAAAGCTGGCTTTTCACACAGGGGTGAACTTGTTAATTTGCTAAAGACAGCTGCATTCTTGTCAACATGTTTACTGATGCAATGAGGCAAGTGGCTTAAGAAATCACCATTACAGAGAGTATTAAATCATGCTTTTACGCAGAATGTGTTGAGTGTACTAGTAGCAGGATTGATAAGTAGTGCCCTGCTGAAGAAAGGAGACTGTGTTTGCAAGAATTTATGTTAATTTTCTTTAAAGACAGTTAGAAAGACTGGGAACATCCCTCCAATGTAAATTCTGGAGAGGAAGCAGTCTGAATATCTATGCCTAGCATGAATCACCAGAGGCCTCATTCTGCCACTGATCCATGCTAAGTGGATCCCCACACCCCAGACAGGGATCATTCAAATGAACAAACATACAGACAAACCAGAACCCAAAGGAAGAAAAGTTTCAGCATTGACCTCACTAGGGATAGGTGAGGCCCAAAATGAAACAGCATGTTTGCCCTAACAACAATATACAGGATTTAAAACAGTTGGTGTATGCAATCACAGTGGGCGTCAGTATTCTTCCTTCTTTTTCAAAATGCTTTTGAATATGTACCCCAGTCAGTTAACATGAAGATGTTAACTTCTGCCTCTGATCAACCCAGCACACCGATCCCCATCACACAGTGCTTCGATTCTCAAAGGAAGTACTTTGAGCTTTCCCATCCTTGGCCCTTGGCAGTTGTGAGCTACTTCATTACCCTCCTAAAAGCCCACATAAGATGAACAGAATTGCAGCAAAGTATGAGCTGCTACAACTAACAGCTGATGGACTGACTTCTGTAGTCTTTGAATGTTTCCCTGTAGTCCTCTAGCAGTCTGTATGTTGTCTCTCATTTTGTATTGAGACAAATCTTCTCTGAGCTATGGGACATGCTTGTGGTCTGCGCTCAAACAGGGTTAGCAAGCGAGCCCTGGATTTCCAGGGACACATTGAATACACAGGCTGTTCACGTTATGGAGGGCAAGTGATGATTCCCCATGGCACTGGGGATATTCGCATACACAGTGTGTCAACACTGTGCACATTGACAGTAAGCCCAACAGCTTTTGGAAGGTATCAGACTTGCATACATATAACATAGCTTAATGAAATCGATGCACATGTGGACTTCTGGATGTTTGGAGCCCGTGACAACAGTGTAGTGCCACTGGTAGGCACTGTGAGGCACATGGCCAGCAAAATTCCCCACAGTTTTTACACCAGACAAGCACCTGGATCCACAAAAATCCATCTCACCACTCAAAGCCAGGGACAGTTTTCACCATGGTCATGTCAGGATTTGGAGCTCAGCAGTTTGTCTGTGTTATCTGTAAAACTCTTCTAAGCTGTCAACATTCTTGCCTGTGGTGGGAGGATGTACTAGTAAACAGCCAAACTGACTTCACCAAGAGCCTTAACAGCTGCCAAATTAAGATACAAGCTACATAAGATGCTGAGAGAAATGAGGAATGCATTTCACAGATAATCAAGGAGGAGGGATGGGGTCAAAGCACTGCTTTAGCTCCCGGCATGAGTTTGAAAGCCTCCCAGCTTGTGCTCAGTCCTGTTGCCCCTGCTGCTTTTGAAGGGACCAAGGCAAGAAAGCAGTTGTGGCGCAGCAACAGCGACGGGACACCTCCTCTCTCCTCTGCTGCAGCTCTGCTGGGCATTAGCTCAACTGTTTGTATTACAAATAAAAATGACAAAGTTATTACATTGCCAAATAAAAGGAACAGAGTGCAACAGTTGATAGTATTTTTCTGTCATGGAGCTACGGCTTCAGCTTCTGCAGTACACATTAATCAAGCTCTGTCTTTTCACAGAATCTATTGTGACAATCCATGGGCCCTGGGGATAATACTTAACTGTCTGCTGGCATCATCTCTAGCCAATGATTAAAGGGAATGGAAAGGTAGAACAAAATGTCTCTAATGAGGAAAAGGAACAGTAAAATACTTCACTTACTGGAAGCAAAGTCCTGCAGTGTTTTCTCACCCTGTTCTCCCAGCTGCAGTCAATGTGAACCTTGTCTGAGTCAGGACTGCTGGAGATGCTTTCCTCTAAAATGTTTTATTTGCCAAAACAGACTAAAGGCAAAATACACTGTATCATCAGGAAAAAAAAATATACTGTATCATCAGGAAAACAAACCAAACCAAACAAGTGGGTATTGGTATTGACCTTACCAAACTTCTACTGCCTTAAGAGTGAGAGGTTGTCTAGCCACGTTTGCCTCAGTCACCACAGAAAGAGAGGTGATTCATCTCACCCTAAGACATGTATCTAAAAGACAGCAGATGACTTACTGTCTGGAGAGCCTCGTTCTCTCCACTGACTATCCAGTGACTATCCAGGGGTAGGTATGTCTCCTTACCGAAGCTGCCATGCTCCAACCCGTCCTATATTAGGTTTTTCTGATTTTGAATAGTAGGATAGATTCCAGCAGACCTTCTGCTATCGGGAGCCAAAAGGATGAAGTCTGTTAACGTGTATCTGGTTCTGTTTTAAATCTGCCTAATACAGTTCTGCAAGCCATCATGTAAGATTTCTGACACTGAGTGCTTTGTTCAGTGGTTTAATTGGAAGATACATAATGGTTCACAGACATTACCTTGTGTGCAGCTACTAACCACAGAGAGAATTAAATGACCTTTGAAAGCCACTTATATTTTGTGAGTTACTTAATTCTGCTCTATTCTACATTTGAAAACAACAGCTACTTATTTGAGAAGTACTGAAATGCAAATCTATGATTTTTTACTCTCCTAAGACATAAATCTGTCTTTACTTTTTATAAAAGCAGGTGATTTGTAGAAGGGGTGATAAAAAAAAAAAAAAGGAGCCATTTAATTTTAAAGCTCTGCAGAGAAAACATTAATTGGACTCTTAATTTTACAAACATGTTAACACCTCACATTCTGCACAGATGCTACACATTTGCACACAGAATATTGTTACTAAGCAACCCCAAAAGCCAGAACAAAAAAACCCAAAACCCCACCAAAACCACAAAAGTCCTTTAAAGACATATCTCACCCTTTGACTGACATAGTCTGTTCCATTCAGCCAGTGCTGGCAGATGGCTTGCTGAGATCATTATTTCTCTTTCCTTTCAGTAAATGCAGTGTAAAGTATTACAAATGTACAACATGAGACTGTATGCCCACTCAATGGATCTGATTCTGCCATCTTGTAATAGGGCTTTGCCACTGATTTCAGCAGAACAAGAAACTGCACCACAACTGTGCAACACAGATCCATAATGAAGTACTAACTTTTTATATTATCTACACTCTAACTCCAGTCTTTAAAAATCCCAGTTTTCTTTGAGAAAAAAACCCAAAACAAATCAATCCAAAACCCAGCCTCTGCTGGACTAGAAATTCATCTACCTCACTCAAAACTATTTATTTC